GAAGAAGAAGAAGAAGAAGAAGAAGAATAAGAAGAAGAAGAAGAAGAAGAAGAAGAAGAAGAAGAAGAAGAAGAAGAAGAAGAAGAAGAAGAAGAAGAAGAAGAAGAAGAAGAAGAAGAAGAAGAAGAAGAAGAAGAAGAAAAAGAAGAAGCAGAAGAAGAAAGAAGAGGACACTTTTTCCTCCTGTTAGATTTTCTGTCCTGTTTGTGAGATTCGTTGTTATAAATAAGCAGACAGATAATGTACTGACCGGCACTCATAGAAAGAAGTGGAAAGATAGAAAGACACACTAGACAACATACAAATCAAAAGCTATAGTTACAGGGCCGGGAATCGAACCTGTCACCTCTAAATAGCGAGTGCGCCTCGCCATGGAAACAAGTGTTCTAGTAAATATAAACAACTTGTCACCCCTAGATAACGCCTACCATTTTGTAAAACTGGCCAATAAGGTCATGTTTTCCTTTAGATGAACACCACATAACACAACTGTTCCTCAAACACCTACCTCTTGTAGAAGCCGCAGTACTTCTAAATGGCCGTTCTCCACGGCTAGGCAGATAGGCCAGCTAGTGCCGCGCTGAAAGACCAGTACAAATACGCGGATTAATTATCCAGCAACGTTTCTCGAACTAGTTCTTTTTGTGTACACCCAACACTACTGGTAAAGTAATAGGCTATAATCTCTATATTACGTCTAGATTAACAACAGTTATGCAATAAAAACACGAAGATGGCCGTATTACACCCACACACACATGTACACACCCATGCTTTGACACACACACACACAAACACACACACACACATGCCACAAGATTTTGCAGATATACGTGCAGTCATAACTCCTCAAATTTCACCCTAACTAATGTGATATTTGCATGAATTACGTAGCCTAAATACTTTTTTTTTTTTTGCATGGCTGTTCGTCTGCTTTCGTTTTCTGTCTATATCTTTCCGTCTCTCTTCTTCAAATATTTACCCCTCAATCATTTCTTTATTCCAGCTGTTGTTTTAATGTGCCCTGTAAATTTGACTTCTACGTTCGATCTGGCTGTGTTGTGTGATCTCCAGGCGGCTCCAAATGGACCATCGTATCTCTGCAGCATTCACCTTGTTTGATGATTTCTTTTACTAAGAAGATATTTTATGCTTGCATCACTCAGCAGGTCCTTTACCAAACGCCGATATCTTCACTCCACGCATCAAAGTATCTTCTGCTTCTTGACTCTATGTTCCAGCCCTATGTCCTTTATAACCAATGCATCTTCAGTGTCTCGTATCCACCTTCGTGAAGTTTTGTCCCTGCCTCGTTTTCTAGAAACACGGCCAAGATAACTCAGCTTTCGGGAGAAGATGTTATTTACGAGCCAGTTCTTCTCCAGATTCAAATTTTGTCAGATGTAGATGTCGGCTCTGTGGCTAAGTCGATGCGAACACTTCGCTTCGTAATGCCGGGATGCCAGGTTCGATCCCAGCTGCGGGCAATGCGCCTTGCGTTGGTTTCGACAGTGGTATCAAGAAAGCCGACCGTCCAGAAGCAATGGCAAACTACTGGACGTAAATTTGCCTAGAGAAACCACACAACAGCCAGGGGCTGTTAGGGTTGGTTCTGCAACGTCCTCTAGAGGATACGCAACAACCTTAAAGATGTAGATATTTTTGTTAATGTTATATTTTCAGTAAATTCAAAGGCAGTGGGTTTCTCTGTTGACAAAACAAACTTTACAGCGAACTGAATCCCCGATAAAACAGAGACCTGATCTGTTTAGTGAGCAATATACTTACTTCCTGTGTGATAGAGTCTCCTTCCTCTAGCAGTCTGTACAGTTCCTCAGCTTGGCCATTGACTGCACACTCCAACAACTTTGGCATTACTATCTTCTCTTGTCGTCTGCACAAATATACACACAAACAAATAATATCATCATCGTGTACAAAATACAAGAAATAGTTTCGTTTATTGACTAATTGTCCAAACAATTTCTTGAAGGCCACCAGAGGGTCTTACAGAAGAATGCTTAGAATTTCTTGAAGGCCACCAGAGGGTCTTACAGAAGATTGCTTAGAATTTCTTGGAGGCCACCAGAGGGTCTTACAGAAGATTGCTTAGAATTTCTTGAAGGCCACCAGAGGGTCTTACAGAAGATTGCTTAGAATTTCTTGAAGGCCACCAGAGGGTCTTACAGAAGATTGCTTAGAATTTCTTGGAGGCCACCAGAGGGTCTTACAGAAGAATGCTTAGAATTTTTTGGAGGCCACCAGAGGGTCTTACAGAAGATTGCTTAGAATTTCTTGAAGGCCACCAGAGGGTCTTACAGAAGATTGCTTAGAATTTCTTGAAGGCCACCAGAGGGTCTTACAGAAGAATGCTTAGAATTTCTTGGACAGCCAAAAAAAGTAATCTATATGTTTTGTAAAAGGCAAGGGCTCTAGGAACTTATCACAAACATCTGAGAGAGAGAGAGAGAGAGAGAGAGAGAGAGAGAGAGAGAGTGAG